TTGACAATTTACACATTAAACTGTCCTTTGGATACCAAGTCAGAAGACCTGGGTTCAAATCCTAGTTTAGCATTTATTAGCTATATGACCTCAGGTAAGTCACTTTCCTCCTGTGGGTTTCACTGTCATCCTCAGTAAATGAGGGGGGTGGTCAGTTAGACTAAAATCCTATGAAATCCTCTACTAATATTTGGATAAATAAAGAAAGCCCTCATTAAGTACTTATGTACAGGATACTGTGATAAGCCCTGGGAATACAAAAGTAAGGTTGACCCAGCCCTCAAGGAGCTCACATTTTAATAAGTGTAAAGAAGACATATCAGGACTGGTAGCCAAAATCTTTCCAGAAACAATGCCAGTGTGTTGATTATTGATGACTGTTCTCAGAGCATGAGGGAGAAACAGGGAAAGGTAGGGTATCCTGGGTGGCAGATTAGAAAATGTCCACAGTGCTTTAAAATATGAGGAAGTTCTTAGATTTGCTCTACTAAGGCCCAGGGAACAGAACCAGGGGTAATAGGAGGTTAAAAAGAGACAACTTTAGGCTTAAATTAAAGCAAAAACTACTACCTAACAAGCTATCCAAAAGTATAACAGCTGCCTCTGGAGGTAATGGGCTCCTCTTCATTGGAGATCTTTAAGCACAGGCCAGACTACTTCTCTTTTTTTTGTTTTGTTTGATTTTGTTTTTTGGCTAGGCAATGGGGTTAAGTGACTTGCCCAGGATCACACAGCTAGTAAGTGTTATGTGTCTGAGGCAGCATTTGAACTCAGGTCCTCCTGAATCCAGGGCCGGTGCTCTATCCACTGCGCCATCTAGCTGCCTCCCAGACTACTTCTCAAGTATATTTTAGGTGTCTTTAGGATATAGGTTGGACTACATGGCTGGTAAGGTCCCCTATAATTGGAATTATATGTAACTGTGATTCCTGTGTACTGAGGTAATACTGATTTGGGGGGATGTAAGTGGATCTTCAGGGATTGTAGATACAGTAAAGACGGTAGCATGCTAGCAAATGAGGCATGGGGAAAACTTTCAGTAACATCAGCAAGAAAAGGAAGGGGGTGGGGCAGAGGAAAAGATAGAATGAAAAGGAGAGAGGGTAAAATAATGGAAGAAATGTAAAAATGAGAGAAAAAAAGATACAAATGGAGAGTGGATGGTCTAGTGAAGAGTTGAGGAGATACTAAGGCAGAGTCAAATCATCCAGAAAGCAAAGGGACATAGGCTACCCAAAATTTTTCCATAGAAGCAACGTCTTCTGCCCCCAAAACATGGACTGAAAGTCAGGCCATACTGGTTCTAGTCCTAGCTCTGCTAGAAATGTGCTATGTAGCCTTGGATAAGTTACTTTAATTCTTTGAGTCTCTTTCCTCCACTGTAAAATAAGGTTGGACTAGCTAATGTCTAAGTTCTCTTTTAGCTCTAATGGGATACAGGGACCTACCTCTATGAGAGACAAAGAAGCCATGGTCCCTGGATAGTGAGTTAATCAATAAGTATGTGCTTATTTATTGTTAAGTAAGTGCTTACTATGTATGATCCAGGCACTGTGCTAAAGTGATGGGAATACAAAGAAAAACCAAAACAGTTCCTGCCCTCAAGAAGGGTACATTCTAATGGGGGAGACAACCTGTAAATAATGAGGTATATTCAAGTTATATGGAATCAAGGTAACTTGTTCATGCTGCAGGCTTGGGAAGTGGCTCGGCACAGTCCAAAGAACACCACATCTTGCTAGTTGTGACCCTCAGAAAAACCATTTTAATTTCCAAGTTTCAGTTTCCTTATCTTATTTCCTTATCACTAAAGATCTGGACTTTTGTCAATGTCAGCACTCCTTCCAATATAGACTGTATAGTTTCCAAAACCAGTAAATGGTCTCCTGGAATTCCAGTGACTTCTCCAAACTTAGCTAGGGTAGTCCTTCCTCAAACAATAAACCTGGAGTCTTGTGGTCTTTGTTTTTCATAGAGCACTAGGCCCAAAGTCAGGGAGATTTGAATTCAAATGTGACCTCACTCACTCACTAGCTGTGTGATCTTGGGCAAATCATTTAACTTCTGTTTCCCTCAGCTTCCTCTACTTTCAAGTGGGGATAATAATAGCACCTACCTAGAAGGGCTGTTATAAGGATCAAATGAGATATTTGTAAAAGCACTTAGCACAGTTGCCTGGCACACAGTAGGTACTCAATTAATGCTTAGTCCCTCTTTTCCCTTTACAAAAAGCTTCCCATCTTGGCAGAATCTTCCAGAGCTCATATTTCTCTGGCATAATACTTGATAACCAAAATCTCCTATATACCACAATAAGGCACTGAAGAAGGACCTTTGTGGAAACATCATCCACATTATGGAAATAATAAAAACTTATGTCACATTACCTCCCCTCAGCTGTAATTTTGAGATAATACTTGCATTATTCCTTCAAAACGTTGTATACAAGTGCTTTGTAAACCAGAAACTACTATAAAAATGGCAATTAGTATTATAATTATTATATAGATAGTCCAACTAGTTATGAATGGATAATCCTACTTCCATCTCTATAAATGACAGAGCTCTAGTTAAGGATAAGTTGGTTAGGCTTTCATTTCCATTTCTACATCCTATCTCAGAGGGATATTATATGGAATAAAATAGTGTCAAGCACTACAGTTGCTAAGTTAATAGATACTGAATGAAGGCTGAAGAAAATTCAGAGAAAAGAAATTAATTCAGTTAGAGAGCGGAAAGAAAAAACAGAGGACAATAGAACAGACACGGAGTTTTAGTGTTACATAAGTTTATTTTGCCTCATGAATGGTGTTCACTTAAATGGGAAGAGAAACACACAAATCACAAAATGCCTGCTCAGAGACAAAAGAGGTAGGGTATTTTAGCAATAAAAGTACCCTTTTCAATTCAAACTCTACAGATTGTTAGTTTGTGATCATTTTGATGAGCTAAATTGAATTTAACCTTTGTATCATCTATTTTTCAAGAGGTTGCTAAGCAAATTAATAGAGTAAACACATGACATTCTGCAAAAAGTGAATAAATCATCAGTGCTTTTCACACGTAGCTTTTTAACTAGGCAAGCAGACCTCACTTTTATGGAACTGACTGTATATACATCTTTGGGAGTTAATGACACACATTTTCATTATTCAAGGACAAACTGATATTCAATATTACTGTTAATGCTTCCTTCAAAAGATTCCTTCAAAAAGAGAAAACTTACCACCAATCTCTCTGTAGTATGAATGTGAAATATCATAGATTGGATTGTCCTTTAAATTGGCAGTGCTAAATATAAAATATTTTTTTTCTATTTCTTAAAAGTACCAAATTTCCTAAGATTTTTCCCTCACCCATTCCCCCAACAGCACTTCCTCCCACCCCAACAGCACAGAAACTTCTCCTTTACAGAGAAGCTATGAATCTCCAAAAAAACAAATTTTCTGACTGGGTGAAACCTAGTCAAATCTAAATTAAAATGACAATACAAGGTGAAAGGGGGCTAGTAATGATTTCAGACAAACCTACTACATACTTTTTGGGAAACACTTGGGTTTCTTCAAATATCTCTCTTGTGCAGAGGTTTGACTATTTGCTGACTCAAATGCAGTCATTTACTATATCTATTAAATATTTATAACTGCCTAAACAATGGGGAGATGCAACTATAAGTAGGCCAGATTCATACTTTCAAATTGTATCTAATACCACTGTCTCAAGAAATATTTCTTCTTTGGGAAAGCTGAATATAAATCAAAATTTTTTTAAGTTGATCATTGGATATCAGTATATATGTGTGTATATACACACACACACACATATATATATATAGCTTGACATGTAAATGAATTATACAATGACTCTTCACAAAGTGAATAACTACATCTTTATTGTAAATACATCTATAAATTTGTGATCTACTAGAATATCTACAAATTTGAGAATCACTCACATATGCTTAGAGTTATAAATTATAAGTCTTTAAAAATGTTCTAAAACTGCTCATTCTTCCCAGTAAGGGCAAACTGGTGTTGTTCTACTGTAATGAGTAGAGGTCTCCCTCAACTACATAGCACAGCTCAACTGGCAGGATTTCTCCTGCCCCTCCCCCATCTCAATATCGCAGTAACTAGAAACTCAGAGGAGCCAATCCTGTGTAAGTAAGGGGTTTGGTTTAGTTTGTTTCTGGCCTGTGAAAACAACAGTTCTACAATCAGTACTCATCCAAGCACGTCTGGCACTGGAGAGACGGGAGAAGGGGGAAGTCAGTGGGTGGACTGAGGTAGTCTCTCCAGGGGGCCTGACAAAGTCAAGTTTGAAGTCGAGGACAGCAGCCACAGGTCCTGTGCTAGGGCTGAGAATAATTAGAACTGCACAGGTCAGACGCCTAACTTCAGGTCTGACACCAGGTGATTTGAATCAAGTCTCAGCCATCAGACCAGGGAGTGGTTTAGCGGGAACAGCACAGTTCTAGATGACCAGGTAGGTGTAATCAGTTCTGCCTCTGGTTGCCTGGGTGTGACCCGGGACAAATTACTGAACCTATTTGGATCTTAGTTTCCTCATCTGTACAAAGGGTAAGGTAAAGGTTTGCACTCTTTTCCTGGGGATAGGGTATAACGAGCACCCTTTGGTAAAAAGCCCTTTATAAATGTGAATGTTTGTTATCATTTCCCTCCTTTTCCTCCTTCCCTTCAAGAACCCAAATGTGTGGCCCCCCATTTTACAGAAGTCCTATACAGAGAAGAGGGAAGTCTTGGATAGGTCAAAAGCAAACCAGGCTCGGGTCGGGCTTCCACATCTCTCTTCCCTCATTCCAGCCCACCCTGCCACTGCGACGCCCGAGGGGCCCAGGCTCACTAAGAAGCACCACCACCAGTCCGTGACGACGGAAACCCCACACCCGGATCCATGGGAATGGGGGGGGCACCGAGAAGGCACGGAGACGGGCCCCAGGATCCCCGAGGGGCAGGGTCACAGGCCCTACGGACACTCACCCTCCATCCCTAAGCAGCGGCGGTTCCGGGTTCTTGGACCGGAAGCGGCCGCGACAGTGTTTGCAGTTCCCCTGGTTACAAACCCGCCGCCGACCAATGACTATAGCCTATGGCGAGCCCGGCCCGCCTCCTCGCCGGTAGTGACGTCAGCGCCGGCGCCGGCGCTCTGTGGGCCTCCTCGAGGCGCTGGCTGACTGAGCCGGGCCAGGATGGACGCGCTCGAGTCCTTGTTGGACGAGGTGGCCCTGGAGGGACTGGACGGGCTGTCGGTGCCCACGCTGTGGAGCCGCCTCGAGTCGCGAGTGCCGCCCTTCCCGCTGCCGATGGAGCCCCACACGCAGCAGTTCCTGTGGCGGGCGCTGGCAGCCCACTCCGACATCCGCTTCTACGTGGAGCCCAAGGATCGACCTGAACTCCTGCTGCAAGACCGGTCAGGGGCCCGGGCCGGGCCGGCTCGGGGGTGGGGATGGGAGGGAGAGAGGACCTGGAGGCGGGCGGGAAGTGGGGATCCGAAGTGAGACCCCAGATCCCGGGGAGCCGTAGCTGGGCCCCAGACTTTAGGCTGGGAGGGACGAGGAGCTAATGATGGATGCAGAGTTGGAAAGGACCTTAGACATTTATCTAGGCCAACTTCCTCGTTTTACAGATTGAGGAAACTGAGGCTAGAGGTGGAGAAATGACCCACCCAAGGTCGTCTTGTGGGTACCGAATAGCTGACAGGCCGGTTGAAAGTCAGGCCCACGATTGTTGATCAGTCGTGTCGGACTCTTCGTGACCTCATTTGGGGTTTTCTTGGCAAAGATACTGGAATCTTTTGCCATTTCCTTCTCCAGCTCATTTTACTGATGAGGACACTGAGGGAAACAGGTTTAAGTGACTTGCCGGGGGTCACACAGCTAGTAAGTGTCAGAGGCTGGATTTAAACTCAGTAAGAAAGTCTTCCAGACTTACTGTGCCACCTGCTCCCCCAGTGTGACTTCAAATCGCAGGCCCATTCTGCAACACTGAGTTGGGTTTTGGGAATGGAAGTGCTCTAGATTTATAGATGATTAGAGCTAAAAGAGACCTTCGACATCGTGTGTTCTGACTCTGAGTATTTTAGAACACCCTGCCTTCTTGTAAGCTCTATAAGGGCAAGGAAATTGTGTGTCTTGTCTAAACATCTTTTCTCTTACAGTTCCAGTACAGTACTCTGTACATAGTAGATGCTTATGAAATTGAAGTACGTTGAGTTGGTTGTATGAATAATTTGGTATCCATAGAGGGGAAGTGACATATTTAAAATAATGCATAGGGTAGAGGTGGTACTCATAACCAGTACTCCTAACTCCAAGACAATTGCTCTTTCCACTACACCACATTTCCTCTTCTTAGAGGTCATTTGGAGTCCAGCCCTTTCGTTTTATGGGAGGACTTACTTACTAAAAGTCCAACAGCTAATAAATATCAGAACCACGAAAAGAATGCTAGTCCAAGACTCTGTGTGTATAATATTCCTGATATTTACTGTATTAGAAATCTTTAATTTTCATCAAATAACCCTTCATGAAGCTGCCAAACTGTTCTGACTGTACATCCCTGCTCAAAAAACTTAAGGGGTTCCTTATTGTCTGTAGCATAAAATACAGACGTTCAACACTTAAGGCTCTTTACATCTGGCTTCTATCTGCCTTTTTGAGCTTATTTCATATTATTCCCCTTCAAGCATTTTGATCTCCAGCCACACTCAGCCACTGTGTTCACCAATTCAACCTGATGCTGTGCTGTCCTTCATGCATCAAATAGACTCCCTCATCTCATCTCATCTCATCTCATTAAACTCACTCTCATATTTCAAGTCTCAGCTAAGATCTCACCACCTCCATTAGGCCTGATACCCTTTGCAGAACGTGTTCTCTCCTTCCTCAAATTTTCTTAGAGTACTTTGTTGCAACTCTCCTTTTCTCTCATCACACTGTTTTGTATTTTATTTGTGTATATACTGTCAATTTTTCCCCCTTGATTAAGCTTCTGAAAAATGAAGAAAAGAGAACTTTTCCTCTTTGTATATGTTTTGCATGTAGTAGGCGCTTAATATTTTTCAAGTACTTAATTGAGTACCCCACAGGCTTTGGTAGAAAAAGCAGTGAAGTTGTAGCCAGAGAACTAAGATCTGAATTTTGGATTTGCCGCTTGCCACACTATGTACATTACCTTGAACAAGCCAACCAAACCTCTCTGAGCTTCATTTTATTCGTGTGTAAAGTAGACCTCTGCATTGTCTTCCAGCTCTGAGGCCTGTGATCTTCAGTGACTGAACTCTAAGCTCTCTTCCTGTTCTGGTTTCACCAAATACCTACTGATGTGCAACGCTTTGTGCCAGATGTTGCACGGGATACATAGATTAACAAGTTCCTGCCTCCCTCTCCCCCAGCTCCTAAGACACTGTAGTCTAGTAAGGGAAATAAGACATCAATCAGCAAGCATTTGTTAAGTGCCTTCCGTGTGCCCAGCACTGTGGGCTGACATTGGGAATACAAGGATAATGAAACATTCTCTACTAAATAAAGAGAATACATACCAGATACAAGGGAATTAGGGAGAGGGCACTAGTAGTTCGGAAGGATCAGAAAAGGTGTGGAAGAAGGTACTCTTTGAGCTATGTCTTGAAGAAAGATAGAAATGAGGAGGGATTGCGTTCTTGTCTTGAGGACAGCCAAGTACACAAGGGCAGGGACAAGTAGTGGAATGTATCCATGCGGTAGGAACAGAGAAGGAGCCACATTGGAAGAGGGGTAGTATAGGGAGAGGCTGGAAAGACGGTTTGGAAGCTGGTTGTGAATAGAGAGAAGAGGTTGGATATGAAAGATATTGTGAAGGTAGAAATGGAAGGAGTTGGCAGCTGATTTGATATGTGCTTTTAAGGAGAGTGAAGCATTAGAAATAAGACTGAGGCTACAAACCTGGGAGACTAAAGAATTGTGGCACTTTCCTCAGAAATGGCAGGTTTAGAAACGAGATTGTGGGATGGAGATAGGGAGCAGTGCAGATAATGTATTTTGTATGTGTTGAGTTTGAGATGGCATTTGAAATGTCTGTTAGGCAGTCGGTGATGTGAGATTGGGACTGCATTTATAGATTGGAAAGTCATCTGCATAGAGATGATTATTAAACTTATAGGAGCTAATGAGGTTGTCAGAAGAGAAGAAAGTTCTGGATGGAGCCATGGGGACCCACAGTTAGGGGATGTGATAGCAATAATTTGCTAGCAAAGGAGGTTGAGAAGGAGTGGTCAGACTGGTAGGGGAAAACCAGGAAAGAGGAGGGTCAAGAAAACCCAGAGAGGAAAGAATATCCAGGAAAAAAAGGATGGTGAGGAGTGTCAAATGAAGAAGAGGTATAGAAGAATGAGGACAGAGGAGAGAGGTTTGGCAGTTAAAAGATTATTAGTCACTTTGAGGAGAGTAGTTTCAGTAGAATAGTAAGGAAAGAAGCCAGATTGCAAAAGGAGGAGTAGTAAGTGAGAGGAGAATGAAGGAAACACTTTTGTGTAGACAGCTTTTCTTGGAATTTAGTGGACAAAGGGAGGAGACATGTAGGACCATAACTTGGAAGATGTTAGGGTCTAGTGAAGGCTTTTTAAGGATGGAGGAGAGTTGGCCTTGTTTGAAAACAGTAGGGGAAGAACACAGTAAAAAGGAAGAGGTTGCAGATTAGAAGAGAGAAGGGGATGACTATATCAATAGTCTGCTGAAGAAGAATGGAGGAGGTGACATGCAGGGCACATGAAAACAAACAGTTCTAGTAGGAGAAAGAGTGTAATAGGTTTCATAAAGGAGCTTAAAAAGTGCTCATTTTATGAAAGGAATATTCTTTTCTGACTGAGAATGATTAGCTTAGTTTTGGAGTATGAAGGTTTCTGTAGGTGGAAAGGATTTAAGGAATAAAATGAGCAAAGATAGGGAAATGGAGAAAATACAGGGCATGTTTGAGGTATGTTGAATTATCCAATCTAATTGGAGCCAAAGTAGTAGGAAATGAGGCTGGAAAGGTAAGTTGGGGGCTGAGTTGTGTAGGGCCTGAATGGCAGGCCAAAGATAGGAGTAAGGCCAGAGATTAGGGTTCTAAAGAGTTAGAGCTTTATCCTCAGGAAGGAAACACTTGGAATTTGGTGGGGGGAGAACAGCATGGTTTTAGCTGTACTTTAGAAAGAATATTCTTACTATGGTTTGCAAGAATGATTGATAGATGAAGAATGGAGGCAAGCAGAGCAATTAGAAGGCTGCTGAAATAATATAGTATCTAAACAAAGATGGTGGTAATTCATGTGGAAGAAATGAATGATATCAATAAGTAAGGGGTTGAGTGCCATACTGTGTGTCCAGACCTGTAACCTATAGTCAGTGTAGGATAGAAGAGAAAAACAGGACAGCTCACAGCTAGTTGAGAAAGACTAAAAGAAGAAATATAATAGGGGGCTTAACTTGGAGGTAGTCAAGTCATTAAATATTTATTAAATACTTATGTGCCAGGCACTGTGCTAAGTGCTGACAGATTATTAGTTCTGTAGGAAGTTAAAGGAAATGGGTGTAAACATGGTTTGGAATAGGGAAGGTTTCTTTTTTTTTGGTACAAAAAGTATTTTTTTAACTCTTATTTTATTTTTATTTTTCCACAGTTACATGTAAAAACAATTTTTAACATTCATTTTTAAAACTGAGTTCCAGATTCTCTCCCTTCCTCCCCACTACCCCCACCCACCCTGTCATTGAGAAGGCAATCAGTTTGATATAGGCTATACATGTGTAGTCATACAAAAGATACCCATAATAGTCATGTTGTGAAAGAAAACATAGACCAAAAAACTCAAAGAAAGTTAAAAAAAAAAGTATGCTTCAGTCTGTATTCAGACTCTACCAGTTCTTTCTCTGGAGGTGCATAGCATTTTTCATCATAAGTCCTTCAAAGTTGTCTTGGATTATTGTATTGCTGAGAATAGCTAGGTCATTCACAACTGATCATCTTACAATATTGCTGTTACTTTGTTCGCAGTACATTTCACTTTGCATCAGCCCATGCAAGTCTTCCAGGTTTTTTTTGGTAATATGCTGCTCATCATTTCTTGTAGTACAGTAGTATTCCATCATGATCACATCCCACAGCTTATTCAGCCATTCCCCAATTGATAGGCATCTCTTCAGTTTCTAATTCTTTGCCCCCAGAAATGAACTGCTATGAGTATTTTGGTACATATACGGCCTTTTCCTTCTTGATTTTTATCTCTGTTGGGATACACACCTAGTAATGGGTATTGCAAGTCAGAGGGCATGCATGGTTTTAGAGCCCTTTGGGCATAGTTCCAAATTTCTCTACAGAGTGGTTGAATCAGTTCACAACTCCACCAACAATGCATTAATGTCTCATTTTTCCCACATCCCCTCCAAACCTTCT